CGTGAATTATTGTGTTTCAAATGTTTTTCAGCGCGAACCTATGATACTGAGATGAGGAAGAAAATTTGTGATGTCAAAATACGTGTTAATAGCACGGTGCCCTGATGATTATTATAGTCAATAACGAAGGATCTTATCCGTTTAGTAAGCAACAAGTGCTCGATCAAACCGAATGCAGCAACTGATTTAGCTGCATAATTCAAAAACACGCATTTCGAAATGAAAATAGATTGACAACAAATTGAAGACCAGGAAATGGGTAGGGCCATTTATTATGGTCTACAAAAAAACATTTGAGTACGTTAAATGTTGCTTTAGATTCATACCGCGGAACAGATTTGCGACCTATTACGTACGTATTGTTTATCAATGAAGCTTTTCTATGCACGCTGTTGTATTTCTATCTTTCTAAACTCTGATCAGCGCGTAAGGTTTATAGTTGGTCCATAATTAATCCTACTCTGTAGTCGATTCGATAATAAGCGCGATCTATGTGGTCCGAGTTTTCTAGTTCTGTCAGCAGGTCTTGTCAGTATTATTATCTTTACTCAATAATGTGGCAACCTTAACTAAAATAGAACTTTATTTACGTGACTATTTGAGAAATTGAATTAATCAGTATTGTTTGTGGATGAAGCTATCACTAAATTTTGATTGAACTCGCCCTTTAAATTTAGGAGTGTATTGCCTTAACCTTCTTTTGTGGCTCAGTATGACTGCTCCCAGTAATGTTTCACTAACTAAATAAGAGCTGTAAATTCAGATTCATTGTCGTCGATGGTAAACCCTTTTTGATTGCTCACACGTTTTCACGGAAAAAAAAGACTTACCTTAACAGCCAAGGTTCAGTTAGCGGCGTATAACACAGGACCGTGCATCAGAAATATGTCCCATTTCTATCTAACATCAAGCGTGCTGTGGGCCATCGATAGCGTAGGATGACTCATAAGAGCTTCTCGCGGTTCCGAATTCAGAACGCGCGTCGGATAAGCCTGCTTCCATCTATGCTCTGGGATTTCCCCAACGCAGACCACGTGCTCATATTTATATACAACTAAACTACAATTTAGTTAACCAAAAACAACAAGCAAAGGTCCTCAGTCTGTTATTCGACAATTACAGAAAAGACCCTTCAACAGACGTCATTAAAAAGAATCTTTAGCTATGATCTTTGGCGGACTAAAGCGCAACACTTACATATGTACAATAATCTTCTATAAGTTTTACTTACAACCCACGTTGTTTTTCATTTATAATCGTCTACGCGTTGATTAATTCAATTTCTTTTGAAGGAGCTGGCATGAAAAATTTGGTTTTCTTAAACATTCCTCTATGTTAATACTCTCGACAGCACGCCAAACTTCGATTTTAAAATGCCACCCATAATTTTTTTTGGTAGTTTTCATGTTAGCCTCGTTTTATTGACATTTTCTTAACAGTAATATAATTTCTTTTTGGTTTCATAAAAAAGGATGCGTAAAATAAGTTTTTTTCAAGTAAAAATTTTGGATCGTTACCAAATAGACATTGTTACCAAAAAATATGAAGGAATTTGAGGTGCCGAAGTTTTGTATCAGATACACAATAAATGCGCGGGGGGCCATAATGTTAACCTGGTTTTATTGGCACATGTGTTATAACAATATGATCTCGATGTAGAAAGTTCTAAGAGAAGAGGTGAGGATTAACTTAACTAGACCTAGTCACCCACTATAACTGGCACTGCGTTTTTTTGGCACACATCTACTTTTGACCAATACCGATGTTACAAGAACGATGCTAAAATATCAAACCTACCTATAAACATAATTACCTTTTGAAATGAGTACAAAACACATTTCGAAAAATTCAGTTTATTATAATTTATGAGTGAAACGAAAAAAAAAATCCTATTCAAAAAGCTTTTTGGCTGGATAATTCTATTTCGACTGAATAATTGTATTTTTCTCATGGTATCTCACAGTGGACAGTAAGGCTATTAAGAGAATATTGTTTCCTTTCTAATTAGGACTAGTACCTTGAGAAAAAAAATACATTCAGCCAGATTAGAGCGATCGCAGTTCTCTTCTAAACTCGGTCTGTGTCCAAGTTAAAGAAGTAATTCATTTATGCCTGTTATGTGTAAACTGTTATTAGAAATCTAAAGTTAACTGTAGAAAAATGCAGTTGCTTCACCGTTATTATCATTATTAGGTATTATTATGCACACTAAGCGAGTAGCCTACCTGTATCATAAGACGCATGTGTGCATCATTATGAATGAATGAATGTTGAAAACGCATGCAGCTAGTCTGGAATTAAAGGACGAGAATGGACATCTCGTCACACAAGCTCCAAGCTTCTGAGGATGCACCGCAAGAAGTGGAACTACTTGATGATGTCGGTAAGAAGTTAATGGTGATTTTGTATAACTTTGTTCCGAAACAGACAGAATTTTCTTCACATCGTTTGGTCGGACACTTAATTGATTAACTCTAGGTAAAGCGCACCAACTTGTGACGGAAAACTTACTTGTTTACCAAAAATAAAGCGAACAATTTGTATCATCGTAAGATGTTTTAATGGTATCAATTGAGTTGTTTCAGTTGTGAGAGATGTTTCCTCTTCGGATTCTTTGGTAGAGCATCCGGTTAGGAATACTATACATTGTCACAACGTAGCTGGCAATTTGAATAGTAGGCTTATCTTCTAATTAGCACTAATTCAACCGAACATTCAAGCTTCAACGGAAGTCCGTTTTTTGATCCGAAAAGGAATGAATCTGTGCCGATTTTTAGATTTCTTCAAATGAATCGGCAGCTCATGTAATTTTATGCTGGCTGGTGATAATAAAAATATTTATAGCAGTTCTGACTGGGTATGCCGCAGCTCTCTGAAACCATTCTTGTGAGAGCTTATGGCACGTAGGTATTTAACTAGTTTGTGTTTTTATATGATAGCTTCAATTTTATTTCAGACTATCGAACGGTGTTAGATAGTATGACTGGAACCGACATAGTGAAAAATCATTGCTCACTACATACGTGTTGTGATCGTAATAGGCGAGTTTTATCAAGCATTTATAGTAGAACTCTAACCCAGTGTTTCGCTTCTAAGTCAGGTCTGTTCTGCATTTGATACTTTCACACGAAAGTAACTTGTAGACGCACATGACTGACCAGCCAATTTTACCCTAACTCCATTACCAGGGTGCTATATATTTGCCAATTTTAACTAGATTTCTGGATATTCGCTAATGTTTGATTTCTAAAACCAGTGCACGTACGCAATATGGTCACCGTTATTCCACAGTATTCCCACATACAAGTGAGTCAATCGCAGCGTACGCGTGTCAAAATTTATTCCAAGGAAAAAGACCTTCGTTTTGCATTTATACATGCTCTAAATGCAAACATAATTTCATTTAATTGATTCGATTTAAAACTTACTTGATTAAAACATTGGTACTGAAAGAGTTCTCAATACGGATGGGATTTAGATAACCTCAAAAAATAGGTTAGGATATCAGATAACCGGTTTTCAAAAAGCTATCGCTATATATTGGTTTTCACTCAGGGTCCGTAAAAGCTGTAACCCTGGGATGGTTTAAACTTCTATGTTCCTTTTGGTGATTATTTATCATGCGAGCCGAACTCCGTATGTGCCTATAGAAGTCGAACAGAAAAGATGATGAGACAAAAAGCATTGAAGTATATTATGTCGATAGCTGTGCTTCTGCTCCTGTAAATATAACACGTTTGGAAAAATGTTTGCTTGTTTATGTTGTTCCAAATTACAATGAAATACGGATATTATATTACTATTATTTTAGCTAGGTTCTAACAAATTTTAACTAAAAATGGTTGACTCTTCAACAGCTCGTTATTGATTTGCCAAATTACGATTATTTGTACTAACAAGTAAAAATAGTCTTACTTGAGAGCGATCGGCAGTACCCGCATTTTATACGCACTTAGGGCACTAAAGCAAGCTAAAACAGTACCAATCAATTTTTAATCGATTCTTCTATCACTTTAAAAAATCTAAAGGTTTGATATAACGGTTTTGTCACTGCAAACGTTCGTTATAGAGAAAACGAAAGGCTAATATGATTTCAGTCTGATACAAAATCGTTTGATATTGCAAACACTTGATTTAAACTTGAGCTACACCTCCACGTATCCGCGTAAGTCATTTTCTACGATAGAATTTAAAAATACGTTTCGGACTGCTTACGTATGAAGCGCGCGCATGAATATTGCGGCAGTGAAGCAGACAAGTTTCCTGCTGCTTTTTAATCATTTTTTGTTATCATAGACTTCCATCATTACTAAACATGGATAATATATGAACTAAGGCTTTAGGTTGATATTACATAAACAAGTAATGTTCACGAGTAATCCAGCTATGACTAATTCGTATAATTAGTTTATCTGCATTTACTCATAATCCTCGTTTCAAAGCGCGGCGCAAACGAAGAAAGAAGGCATTTTCTTTCTTCGCTAATTTGTAATGGAATTTGTTTTTTGTATGCCGAACATTAATATTCATTCATTCTATTGTTTTCTTATTTGTTGCACTGTACAGCAAAAAACCTCCTTCACTTTGAGTTTATTTGTAATCGCTTTCTTATACGTGAGGCCTGTGACACCAAACATACCGAGTGTTAAAGCTCGTTTTTTTGAAATTAATCATTGAATTTTATTTACGAAGACCATATTTTAATTCTGTTACAGCACTGTGGCCTTAACATTTTTTGCCCGCACCGAATCTATGTAAAATGAGTTATCCGATGATCTATATTAAAAATATTTTCGAATATCAAGCAGCCGCGTGCGATTTAGCTAGCACAAGCTGCAATGAGTTAGTAAGTGGAATTACTTCGAGTTGTCAGGAAAAGGACTTTTCCTGTTAGAACAACATTATGAATGGCCAGAACTAATAATAGCGCCCTTGATAATAATAATAATATGGTCAGTATGACATTTGTGTGCTTTGATATATCCAACCGGCTATTACAGATGAGGTCATCAGTGCTCAACAACAACAACTAGCGCCAGCTGCGGATTCGCTCCATGTACTTTTACAACAGCAACAGCCTGAACCGTTACAGTTGTTGCTGCAACCTGTACAGCCTTTTCAACCTGGTATCCTTGGATCAAACTCGGTTTCTATAAAACCTGCAATGGACGCTTACGAACCGTTCGTGAGAATCACTGTACAGCCGCAAAGTCGGGCGCTGCGATTTCGATACAAATGCGAAGGCAGATATCCCGGCGCTCTCACAGGAGTCGGAACTACTAACGATGTTAAAACATACCCTCAGATTCGGGTCAGTCTTTTGGTAGAATCGACCTATTTGTTCCAGTTGTGTTAGTTTTTCTCGACAAGCAGCGTTTAAAAAAACCTTGAGGTTAAAATATATAGGTATCATAGTGTGAAATTAGACTAGATGTCTACTTGCCTTGATCCTGGATAATTCGGGAAATATCAATTGGAGGAGAAAAAAATTAGTCAATTATTTTATTATTAATAGGGACATTACTTAACGTAGTTGCAAGTCGTTTTATATTTTTTGAATTACGATTTGGCTTAATCAAATATACTGAAAGGAACCTATATTGTGCAATTATAAAAAATGTATTTCTGGTTCTGGCCGTCTGTGAATTAGCAATGCTCTGCCGCTAATGATGAGTAAGTTACTATTGTCCGGCGATCAAACCTCGTCAAGGCTGTGAATATGATGGCCTGTCTACGCTGGTGGGTGGAACGCCTCCATGTCGTGCCCAATCTTAGGCGGTGACACGCCGTTGCTGTGCTTCGCGTAAGCGACACATGTACCGCGTGAGTTCTCCCGGCTTAACCTTGGCCGACTTTTATGACCTATGAGTATGTCAACGTGGAAAATGCAAAGGAATGAACTTAACGAAACGGAGAGCTCTCTGCGGGAGATTCATTTTTTCTGGGGTCAGCCTTTACTGGCGAAGCCAGGCTTTGGGGTGTTTTTGCCTCTTGAATATATAACGACTCGGCATTTTAGCCGAGCACAACATTCACGGATTCTTTGCTAACCACCAACGTACCAGGTACCGCGGTACGCGCCGCCCCCCAAAGAAGCTAGCATTGACTCCAGTGAACCAATACCCACCCTGGAAGGTGAAGAGGGCCTCTTCCACGGCTCGGACTATCACGCAGCAGGTTAAGAAAAAGTGAACAAAGCAAAAGTAGTAGTCTATATCCATGTTTATACCTTATAACAGAGGCGTTTTCCTAAGCTTGCGCAGCGGCTTCTTATAATCCAAACCTATCTTTGTGAAAGGACACTTTAGCGGCCTCCGAGGTATACGACCTTTGCATAGTGAACGAACACCTCCATGCCCAAAGGTGCTGATCGGTGCACTGAGGACAAAGAGTACATACCGGAAGCGCTCAAGTTCCTCAAACCTCGAGTCCACAATATGTCGTTAAAATATTAAGGCCATTTAATGCCGAAATTGAATCCATACTTGGTTCATCATCCGGCGTTGGAACTTCGCCGCACATTGGTTACCCTGAAGCGCGTCTTCTTGAATCGATGTATGGACTGGACGAGATCACAATCACGTGATTGTCTAATATCCGTCGTGCTTTCTTTGTGGTGGAAATCCGTTGCGCTGTAGCGACGCAGCTCGTATGCACGTACAGGAATGAGTGGTCTTTGATATGTATATGATAGACGAGGTGCGTTGTGGGTAGCTTCGCAAACATATACCCGAACTCCTTGCGTCACCAGCTGTTTGCGGGCAAACTGGTTCAGGCTATAGTCGATATGGAACTTGAGTGATCCGATTAATGGAGGAAGAAGCGTATTGGAGACTTCCGACCCGATGCGTGGTACGCACTCTTGAGCTCAGCCCAACCCCACCTCCCTTTTGGTACCGTCGATCGAAACTGGTGATGAAGACTTAGATGAGTTAGTAATCACCACGCTACACGAGGTCATGAATATGTTGAGATACACGCAAAACTCCATTTACCTGAATTATTAACCTCGGTAATTTGACGGTCGCAATTACATATTTCAACGATCCTAAAAGCATCAACTAAACTTTCTTGACCGTCACGGAGTAAGAACGGGGCATGGCATCTTTTTACTTCTCACAGCATAAAATTGACAGGAGCTGGTGTTTGACGGTCATACGCAGGTAGTTGATCTAAAAATGGCCGGGTCCACGGCACCGATAAGCGTCTGTACTATGATCCTTGGAACTAATGTTAAACAGACGTGCCCCCCCCCCCCCCTCATTATTGGCCACTCCTGGTTATGGCCCTTAGGCTATGACACCGGCCTAGATTAGGGCATTATACGAGGCTAGATTAACCGTTAAAATTAACTTCCTCAAAGAATAGGCTCCAGTAACTTTTTATGTTAGATAAGAAGATCGTGCAGCCTCAAGTGTGCTTTAGCCCGCCCGAAAGAGTTCCCTTGGCGTTAATAGACGTCAAAAAAGTTTTCCTGTAGAGGAAAGCGTTCGTTAAATTTATGTTTTGAAACATTCTAGTTGTGCGTCCCAGTTATGATCATCCCATACTAACGCCGGGCCAGATTAATACGACTTCACGCGTCGCATGATTTGTTTCGTGGTTTTTGTCGATTTGTGGTGTAAACGTCTCATTTTTCAACCGTGCAGACTGTGCACGAAGCGACGGATTGCCCGGCCGGCGGGAAAATAATTTACATCTACAGTTGGCCGAAACCCAAAATGCAATCATTGTAATGTTTTAATTTATAAATTCGTTCAAATACGAATTATCAGATGATTCTGGTCTGAATAATTTAAACTTAAAATTTGTTTCCAGTTATCCATACATATGATCATTGACAAACCTAAATCAAACACTTCTTCATTATAAATGCTACCTTATTCTTACGTTTCAGGTGGAGAACTACGTTGGAAAATTTGTGGTGGTTATTTCTTGCGTAACAAAGGAGCCACCCTATTATCCACATCCGCACAATATCGTCTCGAAGGTGAGAAGCACATTTGATGAAAAACCAAAATGTACACCAGCATACACAACGATATTCTGATACATCCAAATAAAAACGTAACGTTTTAGGTATTAGGATAAATCCAATTATCCGATTGTACTTTTCATTCCGTAAGTTAGATACCTAAGGTCTAAAATACTGGGACTGACTTCCGGAATGCATTTCAGAAGTGCTTTATCTTTTCAATATAAAACTATTGATACCCTTGTTTGAGGGTTGTTGAGGTTGTAGAGCGCTCACGTACTTAACGTAACGTTCCGACATTCCTGTAAGGGGTGATGGTCTAAAAGCATTAAAATGAACGAGAATTTTTAGCTTTCATAAACTTTAATTATTTATTTAAGCAATTATTAATTAGTAATTAGGTTTCATTACATTTCTTAGAATAAAAGTAAGTGAAATAAAAATTGTTTTCGTTATATGCAGTGTATGGAAAAATACGACAATGCGCAGTTCAAAACGAATCGGTTTTTTACCGTTGATTAAGACGGTATTTAATATGGTCGTCATTTCGCAAACGATTTTAGCATACAATCAATCATATTAGTTGTATCGGATTCTGGTAATGAATGTCATACAATTTTGATAGATTATTAAGTATGATTTGTTATCCGTGAGAGCATTAGATTTTATTAAAATATGTAAAGTAACCATCAAAATTTTGCCGAAAGGTCCATGTTTCGAGCAAGCTATGCATTTGATCACATCCACGACTCTTGGAGACACCAAAAACACGTTTCATTGGGTTAGACTTAAACATTAGGACGCACATTTCTTTCACGGCAACGTATTAAAAGCTAAGGACATGTAAAGAACTCAATAAAAGTTATACTAATTTACTATATGATTCGTTTCGAAATGGGTTTTTCGAATGCTGAAAGAAAATCAAAATGTAGTTATCGTTATCTAAGCGTTTTTCAATGTTTTTTGTTGACTATCTTATTATGTCAGGAGGGGTGCAGGGATGGCGTGTACAGTAATAAATTTGATAAGACCGATATGACAGCGACCTTCACGTCACTCGGAATTCAATGCGTCAAGAAGACCGAGGTTCTAGGCAGCCTCGACGAACGGGCTAAACTCCGAATTGACCCTTTCAAAAGTAAATCAGCTGAATGTAGCAAGAACTTTTGATTATAGAATATTCAGCGATAAACTTAACATGAAGTGCCGTTAATTTAATTAAGTATACTTAAATATCAAGTATCTAAACATTATTACATTGAAAATAAATGCTTATCAGCAAGTTAGGAGATAAGTTTAAAATTAAATAACTATGCAAACTGTGTTTAAGACAGTGTCTGCTCTTCAAACTTTTGTTTCTAGACGTAAATTTTTAAATCTATGAGGATTTGCTACAACTATATTTTTTCCATTACCAGAAGTTAAATAAGGCAAATGTATGTACGTACGTACGAAATGTGAATTACAGCAAACTATGAACATCGTGCACGGCCAGGTGATATCGATCTCAACGCTGTTCGACTCTGCTTCCAGGTATTGAATATGTTTTGCACAGGCGCTTACAGTACAAATAAAATGAAATCATTTCCGAAATGCTGTTAAAAAACAACTGTCAGCATGGGTAACTTCTAAACCATATTTGTTAAAGGACGAATTTCAGGAAATCTATTGAATAACACATAAAAAAACTGATGTAATATTATCTTGTCCTGCAAGGAACAAAATGGCTCTATCATCTTACAAAGTAAAAAGAATAGACACATGCTGTCTAGAAAGGAACAATGAAATGTTATTAAATATAACTCAACCTCAATGAAGGAAACTATCGCTGAAGCTATATTTGGTGAATTTTTCATGATTATTTACAATGGTCTATTACTTATATATTTATCTAAGCATTTTCTATACAATTCAGGTATTCATCGAGCCAGAGCGTGGTTGCGGTAGATTCAATCGCCCACTGGCACCCGTCGTAAGCGACGTTATATTTGACCGCAAAGCAATGAGCGATCTACAGATCACCAAACTCAGTCATATATTGGCACCGCTACGCGGAGGACTGGAGATGATCGTTCTCTGCGACAAGGTCTCCAAAGGTGCGTTTTCACTAGGCAAAGTATCTGTGAGGCACGATTCGTTCAGGATAACCAACGGTTAAGTATTTAAATCATGGTTAAATTAGAAAAGTCCGACCGTCAGCTAAACTATTTGCGACAAAAGTTCCCATAAAGTAATAAGAAAGCTACAGACATCTGTTACGTAGGGCACTTTGGGAATCGACTACAGTGGCACTCCGCAAGTATCTCACAGAATACGAACCGCGTTTCTCGTCGGCAAAAGGAACGCTGGGGGGTAATTAACAAATTTGCTAATTTGCAGATAAAGTAAGGCCAGGGGGAACGCAAACTAACAAGTTACAAGATTTTCCCAGTATGGAGTAACGCAACTTCGTGCTTAACAACTGAATCTATGAATGAATAATCGGCTACTTGAAATAACGCATGAGTGGCACCGTCATCCTTTCAGTGCATAATTAACTTAACGATTACAGATTTACGACGGTCACACACGTTCACTGATAACATGTTGAAGCTCACAGCAAGCACTACTGACCTCTCTAATCTTTTCTTTACTTAACTAATTCTCTATAAAATGGCTATGAGAATCAACAACGATGTCACATCTGGAGCGATGAGTGTCGAGCAGCGATTTCACTCACCAAAAAATTATTGATGAGTTCGTTTACAAGTGATATAGAAATGCCATTAAGCTTTTTTTGTTCTGACATAATGATGAAATGCGGATGATCAATGGTGACTACTATTGCAAAATGGTATAAACATTTCTGTGAACCCGGATGAGGACACTAACTGCAAACGACCTGTGGCTTCAACAAGATGGGGTAATTTGCCAATCTCCTTCCTCTCAAGTTACTTGACCTTCTATGTTTCGAGTTTTACGTCCTTAATTGCCGTTAGACATTGCATCAGACGGTTGGCTCCCAGCACGAAACGGAGTGCGTCTATGCTTGGGTTCTAATCTAAACGGCAACGTATCTCTAAGATTGGCAGGTAAGTACGTTGTCCACTAGGCTATCACGGGTACAAGTTACCTGGCCCGTAACGACATTAAGTGTTCGCTTCTGGTCCTGTGATGTGACACTTACCATTTTTTTTTCATGTTCGGATATGTAAAGAGCAGTGCCTATAAAGCAACGCTGAAAAAATCTAGAGTCTCAAATACCGTATTGGTGAAATGAATGACCTCGTGAACTGATGCTGAACTATGTAGCATCATCATTTTTATTGAAATTTTTTTAATGAAAATTATACAAAACAGATCGCGGCTCCGAGGGGAGTATTTAGCTAGGATTTTTTCTATGTGTTGTGTCAGTTAAATTTTTCGCCTAGATAAAGTGAGAACGAAAACACTCGTTTATAGAAACCCATTTATGTTTCGGAGTCATTAAAACCGAATACAAACTTTTGAACCTTTAGATAGCAAAGGTAGGCTGATAACCGCACCTCACTATTTAAGGACCTTACGCAACATCTACTAAGGGGCTTAATCATGTTTGAAGAAAATATATGGTTGCATGGCAGGCGGTGATAAATCATGCCTGTGCACTTTAATTGCCGTACTGTGAGCAGGAAGGCAAAGAAGTGTTATTTTTCTACAGGGCAGTGACCCTAAGCACCGAGCGAGCAAAGGAATTAAGCAATGGCTTTTATATGCAAAATATCGTCAAGTTATTAGAAACGTTGAACCCAAATACCATTACAGATCTTTAGCTCCAACTTCATTAATGAAGTTCGTTATTGATCGTAGTGTTAGAAACCTTTGAAAAATTACAAATATTGCTTATGCCTTCAGAAAAAAGTTTTCCACCACAGAAGCCTTCGCCGTTGACATCCATAGCAGAATGTAACGGTAAGAAACTTATATCTTCAATATTAAGTCTCTTCAATGGCTGGCTACAAATAAACATGATTGAAGACATCTGTTGACATTATTATCTGTACGAGTAAGAAAAGTAAAAGTTCATATCCGCTCCTAAAAGCGACTTGGTCTGAAGGTTGCCATCAGCTAAAAGGGTTCGCATTTCGCAACCTTTGCCCGACCTATACAGTTATCTCAAGTCGACAACGATAGAACTGTTTGCCTTTCATTGAAACTCTGTAAGAGTTTACCGAGGAACGTTTTTAAACGTAATAACGCTAAGATAGATGGATTCCTATTGTAATAAGCTTTCGACTGATGTCAAATGGAATAAAGAAGTTAGCAAGAATATGTATGGCTCTTTCGGCTCATTGTGCCTCACGGTTTGTACAATACGACTAGAAAAGACACATATTCGCCCTTAAAATCTGAAGTAAGCCACGCTATATTACATTGCAGTACTGATATACTTTCGTGTTTTTTTTTTCGAGTTTATAAGCTACAATTGCGTTTACGTTTTAATGACAAATTTGCTCGATAGCTATTTTGCGTATTTATATTAAAAATTTTACTAATTGAGCACTCTTAGGTCATATGATTTCGTCTGCTGTCTCTGTTGGTCAAAACAAAAGTACAAAATGACTAAGGAAAAGGCGTAAGTTTTAGCGCCTTTTCTTTAGTGATTTTGTCGAAAAAAAAATACGTCAATGTTGGATTAATATGCTCAGGAGATATAGTTTTGAATACTTGGGGTGACTAGAAGCTGTATGTGCATGGCTCTTCTTCGGAAGCTTTTTAGAGGCGAGATCCTCATAATTAGTCAACCGCGTATCGCTTACGGTGGAAGACGATTTTTATATTCCTGTTGCCAAATTGAGGTATGATTTAAACAACTTGTCAAATATATTTGCAGATATTACCGTAGTCAGCATTAATATTTGTGACACGCGACAGCTTAGTTAAGTTCATTGCAGCCGCACGCCTTAACATTTATTTGAAAACGTTTCCTTTGCCTTCTTTTTAGTCGCTCACCTACTGTCGAAGAACTTTGTGCAATGTTTATAAAAACCGACTTTGCTGGCTCACTTTTTATTATTCCATTCAAAATCTTCCAACAAACGCTGCTTCCCGCTGGCACATATATTTGACTTGCTTTAGACTCTTCCAGCGGTTTTTTTTACTTAAGGGTGTTCAAAGACAGGGGGCAGTCGTGGTATTGCAACAAATTATAAACCCAAAGCTATCACCGACTTCAACGCGAAACATTTGTCGAACGTCAGCTTAAAACTGGCTTGAACATGTTTTTTTTTTTAACTTGCGGTACAGTTTTCTTCGTTCACGTTCGTGTAATTTAACTTTTTGAAATATCTATAATTACACTATTCGTTCCTGTGATTTAGAAAACAAACATTTCCTTTGTAACCTTAATTAATGTCGTAAAGGCTCTTGTCACTATGTTCAGCTGTCTTTTTAAGAAGAATTTTGTACCAGGATGCTGTTCCTATAGCTTGCGGTTGGTTCAAATGTTATGTGGCCACCCGTTTCTCAACTGTACGCATTAACAATATGGTCTCGGATACTTATTTAATAAAATGTGGGGTTTCGAGAAGATCAATCTTAGAGACATCTTTAATTATCTTTATAAATACACTGTTCCTCCATATTGAGGTCCATAAAAACAGATTATGATGACCTCACTCTCATAAGACGGGTTCGCAAATCATCCGCTGTGACACTAAGATAAACTGCTTAACATTAAAGAAGCTATGGCACGCTCGGCTTTTTTTCTAAACATTTCTTAAGCGGAATGTGTCTTTGGAAGTTCTCAATGATCCTCGAGAAATATCTGGCAGTTAGTGAGACAGTCGTTTGTCGTCCGTGAAGTGTTTGGCTTAATATTTACACAAAAATCAGACTAAGTTAATCATTCCCCTAAATTACGTCCAAAATGCTGCGTTTGCACTACTATACTGTCCAGTCATTAAGCTTTTCCCTCAATTAAGGTTTTCCGCAATATCTGTATTGTTTTTGACTCTTTCTTTAACCGATAATTACGTACGCTATTGTGGCTCCGAGCAAGACATTCTCTTAGCTTGTAGATTTTATGGTGTCCAGCGTGGTGTTATTTGCACCATTTATGCATGATCAAGGTCCGCTCGCACATTTTTAATAAAAAATCAATTATTACCCAGTCTGCTGTTTTATTCACAAATCCATGCGCACGTCCACCATGAACCCAATCACGTCTAAGATCTTTCGCCGTTAAGAAAACACGAATGTTCGACCTACTGAGCGCAGTACATCTCCGAAGTTATGAACACAACTACACTTAAACCACTTAATATCTGGTACGTAGAGAACCACGAAACTTTCCGCCCATAGGATTTATTACGGATCACTCAAGCTTATTTTATTTTTGCTACCTGTTAGTTTATTACATGAGGCTATCATTTCACTTTTGATTGATCTCTTTCAGGTGACTAGAGTTTGTATGTCTGGATTTGAATTGAACTGAGTTTTTTTTTTAGTCAATATTTATCTTATAATAATGAAAGTCTGAAAAACACGACAGCAAGGTGGATGTGTGTAACGTGTGTAGACGCCGATACTGTAAAATATAGACGACGAGTTTAGTAGTTTCCTATGTCTCGGAAATCTTTGTTGCTCTCTTTAGCCCCCCTCCCCATTCCATTCTCCGCCTCCCGTAGCTACTCGTTTGGACAGCTAATGGGTACATGGATTAGCCATTTGAGTGCGAAGCTCGTCCTCGAGAATCCCGATTTCTACGTTATTACTTCTTTTCTATTGCAGTATCGTAACTGTAAGCAAGCCATGCGCTAAATTAAATTGAAAACTAATACGAAACCGGTCTACGAGAAGAAAGGTTCCTTAAACAAAAAAGGATCGATGCTCCTACATCCGGTCCTAACGGATTCTATCAAGGACAGACATAATCTACCAAGGGCCGGTCCAGATCCAGTTTACTTACTCATGTAATCTACGCATTTAGGCCTGCCCACATACGGAAGAATCCTTTGGGAAGTGTAGTCCCTTGCAGGAAAACGAAAACTTCTTGTGACCTTTGCATGTTGCAGTTCGATGCATGTCGTAAGTTGGGACCAAATCAAACTTTAGCTGGGTGTTACGATACGGCTAAAGTACTCGTGGTTAGACTACACCGCTATAAAATACAGATTTCAATTTTTCACTAAACTAGGCACTGCAGTGATAGAAGTGCGGCTTTAACTTTAAAAAAGAATATACTCATATCCTAGAAGGATCTAGGTGTACTAAAGGTATACGATGTGATTTTGCAGGGAAAATGGTGCTTAAAGTTTATTTTGAGACGAATATGTTCTTAATACTAACTTTCAAGTTACTAATAGAGAAACTGGAGCTACTCAAGGAAATAAACAAAGGAATAAAATGGGTTTAAGTTGGGAGTACGGAAAAATAAACTTGGACCATGGAGCGCATTTAGACATCACTCAGGCACTATATAATATTGATCACTGAAACTGTGTGTAACTTGTTGTTTTCCCGCATGCATACTCCGAGCTTCCAAGTAAATGATCAAAATTTGTTCCGTTCAACCCAAATCGACATATTATATATATTAAAAATCAGTAATATCATTAATTAATACAACGAAAGTATACAGGTGGCCTGAATCATTGATAATGAGGTCTCATGTTTATAACCGACACAGGAGGCTCTGCTTCGCTGTGCCTATTATGTGAATAATCTTTTCTCTGAACTGTTTAACTATTCCAGATGACATCGAAGTTTACTTCTATCAGGAAGATTCGGCTGGCAATCATCTCTGGGAAAAAAAGGCGGAAATTCAGTCTGTGCACAAGCAAGTTGCGGTTTGCTTCAAAAGCCCTAATTGCTTGGACCATGTAGTGACGGAAAGAGACCAACTGTACCCTGTCAAAATCCATCTACGGCGGACCCGTGGTACGTTGTTTCGTAATGAAAAATTGTCGTTCACAAACATTTTTAAATAGTAAAAGATGGCATTTTAAACGCGTCTTCTGAAGCGGTACCACATATTCAAAAATTACATTTTGACAAATACATCGTATCGGCCTTTGAGACAACGTGGTCGCGTAGTGTAGCATTGTTTAGTGGGATCCGCTCTAAGCACCCTTGAAGGCAAGTTAAGCTCATAGAACTCCACAACACTCCTAGCAGCAGCCAAATTGAAGTTACACCATTGACGAACAAGTACCCTAAGTACAGCAGACATGATTAAGCCAGCATTGTAGCGTCGTGGCGTCGTTCGCACGATGATAATAGCATTACCGTTGAGCATTTTTTTGTAGTAAATGAGCTAGGCGAGGGCCGTGACATCTACCTGGTAAACCTTGGCGAAGGAGGTGAGATCGGTGGTGGAGTCAAGCGGAAGCGATCAGGTGCTGACCAAAACGCGCAGATGCAGGCGGCTCTCCTTGCCACGCAGGGACGGCTCCAGCCTGGTGTTGCTCCACTCGTGGTTGGAGTTCCTGTATACGGCCAACCACAGCCACAGTCTACGCAGACTTCGCACCCGTCGCATACGCCACAACCATCCCACTCTAGAGGTCACGACACCCGGCGACAGTATGCCCCCTCGCCGCACAGCGACGACAGCCCAGCCCCTTCACCTCAACAGTGGGTTATGCAGCCTTTAATACCTTCGGACTCGGCTCATGTCGTCGTTGGGACTGAACGATCAGAAAAGCCTTTCAATGGAGAACTTCCACATGGTGGCAATAATCAAGATCCAGGTGGCAGTAATTGTGTAGTTTCGCGCAAGGATCCGTTAGATGCGGTAGACGTTAACGCAGCCGCTGAAAAACTTGATTCTTTGGATATAAGTATTCCTTCAGGAATGGTAAGTCCTCGAGTAACGAAAGTTATTTGTCATTATTATTATTATTGTTACGGATCAACATCTGTGTGCGGTCATTCTATAACGTATTTCTAGCTACAAAAATAGGTAACGATGCGTATGCCATCGCACAAGTCGCTCTAGAAATTGACATTAAGGTGGAGCGCATCTTACGTTATTATTGCGATGTTCTCTTTTACACGAAGAGTTAAATATTGAAATAAGAAAAATGTCTGCTCTTGTTATTTCATTTTGTTATCTGTAGCTTTGACGATAGTCTAAGCCGAACTCCATTTAAGAAAAAAAAAAAAATATAATTCGATTAGGAAAAGAGATAATGAAAATAGCTAGATTACTTTAACTCTCAAAACTTGAAGTTGCTTCCTGCCGTAGTAACAGTTTTAAATAACGTCATCTTAAATGACGAAGATGCGCTGCTGTTGTCGTGTTTGCCCCTTGTTGGCCATTGAAGCCTAAATCTAAGGTGTAGGAACATGTACAGTATATCGATTTAGTGCATCGCGAACGTTTAAATGGCACAATGATCGACTTTCTTCTGCATAGACTCTCGTTGACTAGCAAGAACAAGGTCCACCAAAGAATGGCCCAATCCAGCTCGTACAACTTCGCAACACGTATTCCTACCAAATGACAATGACCCCCCCTTCCCCTGCCCCCCAAAAAAAAGACCTGGAATCGAAAATGCACCTGATCATTAGACCTAAAGAACTCAGCAGGGCTCTTAAAAAATAAAATTTGTGATCCAACTTATATTTGATTTAGAAGCTGACTTGGCTAGGTCGCATGATATAGCTTCTTCAAGTGAAGATAATCAGTAAATTACTTCCAGACCGGAAATGTTTTAGAATTTGACCTAGTCCAAAGAGAACTTGATACTTCTATGAATATTCCTGTAATAAAGTTAATAGAATCCTTGGAGGCGGTCTGAATGGATGGAGCTCGTACCTTAGGAATCCATATGCATCATTGGGTAATACTGTAAGTATATATTTACCATCGTTGCTCTGGAGGAGTACTCTTGCCCAGTCTGCAAGTATTGGGCAAAATAGCTTCAACGGTAATTCACTTCTGACATTGGGGTTCTCAAAAAGTACAGTCCGGCACGGTTTCAGATTCTGACCTAGGTGTTCATCCAAGACCTCGGCGTTTTATTAGTTGCCATGGAAACGCACGGCACGTTCTGCCAAATCAGATTTAGCGTCGAAGTCTTCACCGAGTTGATTTTTGCCATTTTTTGGATGCCGAACATATCTCTTTTGACGTTACACAAAGCGTGACGATTTTCTTATACATTCAGATTACACTAATCCACATCCTATACGCCCAAAAAAATAAGTAATATACGTCTAGCCGCCGCTCTAAACTGTAATTTTAGGTAGACAATGTTATTTGTCTTCTCATACCTCATCTTTTAAGCCTACAGTAGTATTAGGAGCAACGTCTTTCATGAAGTCCTTCGAAATAATGGTTGCCGACGCTCAAGTTCTCCAAACACTCGTTGCGAGACATTGTAGTATAGATTTATTATTCTCTACTGGTAGGTTAGGGATTAATAAGAAGTTCTACTACACCAATCCTAATCGGTTGATGTTGATTTTCACTAGGCCACAGCCAGTGAGCCCAAAAGGATAGTTTTCTAGGCTGTAAAAAAATATAACATGGTGAATAATATCGTAGCCCAATTTGGAATTGTCAAGGAGATATTCATCTTCTGTATTCTGTCGGTCCGAAAAGCATGTGAGCATTTTTGATGAAGGACGAAAAACTCGTGTGGCATAGTGCTACAACTACTGACACGTATGATCGATTTATAGTAAAAGCAAACATTTCCAAGTTAATATTTATCTATTTATAATGCGAGAAAATTGCTGACATGTAATTTTATTATATTTTGGTTTAATTTTTATAGATATTTAATTTATCAACTCATATTAAAGGAATAATATTCAATAAATACAGCCACTGGCTCTTGTAATAAACCACACAAAATGAACTTTTATTTAGGTTCAAATTTAAAAGCTTAAAGGACATTTTCAACCAGACGAAAGAAAGTGAAGCTGTATGTTCGATCAAAATAGTCCTGCTAGTGAAAATCTATGATATGTAATAGAGTATTCAATATGTTCATAACATCCTGGATCGAAGTGCTTACCTATGGAATAAAGTTGCTTTCGTGTATGGGTCTTTGTTTCGGTGTTGACGCAGAGAATTGAAAATCGTCATAACAGCATCACTATAATCAAAACCGATTTAGCCGTTTCCGTCGTGTTCTAATAGTCCGTTAGACTTCCCAATCTTGTTATGGTACTTCGTCATTTGTCAACAAGCTTGTTACAAATAGGTTTTCATTTACTATATTTAGACTAATTTATTGCTGCATAGAAAATCCTGAACGGAAACAATTCTATTGGACTGGTGTGACCAACGCGGGTTAATTTAAAGGATTTAGCGGAACGGTCTTCTTGTAGTCGCATAATTTGCGAGGACAAGAACACCTTTTCTTGACGAGATAATTTCCCAGCTTTAGAAGTGAAACGAAATTACTTTCTAATTGAAAAAATGTTGGACGCTGTTTTACATTCATATGTTATGTACGTACATTTTCCCCAAGCTGAAGTCCCTGTGTCATAATAATCTTGTTGGATATATATATGCGTTACGTGACTTCCTAGCACAAGACGCGTGGTCTAGTTTGGGGCCGACGAGGTGCGTATCTGCCATCGGGTTGTTTATGACCTGCGGCAGTCAGGTGCTTTGCGTCCTTTGTGAAATCTAACTTTTTCGCTATTAAACATTTTGTAAGTAAACAATGACGCGCCATTTGCAGCGAGCATTTCGGTGTAATCTAGCAACCAGTTTGCTTGTCGCCGCGGTTCCTACGCGTGCTCGAAATCCGCACAGACGGGGCCATTAGGTAAAAAGGGACCGTTTCAAGTCGTCGGTATTCGATAATGCCTCTTATCTGATCAAAAAAAAAGAACGGCCAAATAGAGTAAGCACCCCGATTTGCTCTTCTTCCATTCTTGCCCCTAGAGCAAAAATACAGTTTGTAAGTATTTATAAAATAACCAAGAATCACCTGAAATAGCCTTGCAAATATTCGCGTTAGCTCAATAGGCCCCATTGAACAGTGAATCATGTGAACCATGCATATTGGTAATCATTTCATAATCATAACGGAAGTTACGTCCTGGAACTTGTCCACAGTGGTTGGCAACTGTTCGTAAATAAACAGTTCCCTACAAGACCCGCTGGTTACTAGCCCGGGCTCCGGGCTAAAAGATGTAGCCTGTTCTCAGTTTCCGGCAATAGCGTTGGCATAGCTAACTAACTGCTCGGCAAAGGCTAATCCAGGACGACAACAATTTTAGCTTTTTTGCTGTGAACACTCCTTCAAGAAGATACATTGTAATGTGATCTGGTAGGATAATACAGCGCACTAGGTGTGTAGTTATGGATAATTTGTGGACAAGAGGTGTACACGAAGGGGACACAGGGTGGGGACACTTTGCAACTTTATTTTAGGCAAACAGCATGATGGCAGGCAAATTGAATAGCTTAACGTCGCATTCGTGCACACATTCATAAAGGCCGTCGGCCTCTAATTGGCGCTCGGTAAAATCAGTCCTGTATGAAAGGAGTATGTAATCAGCAGTCGACTTTGGTTGCAGCGGTGATCTTAGCCATACTGAAAAACAAATCAATGTTCCCAGTTTTGACCTGTTCCTCAATTAAAATCCGACCAAATAATACCGCGAAGTTGGTCACGATGCCATATTAGCCAGACAAATAAATGATGGCTTATTGTTTATATTATTCGTTTAAAGACATGTGAGCTTGAGGGAGCAATACAACGGCCTAATATGGCGAAAGTTACATCGGGTGCCACCATCTAACGTGGTTTGTGGTTATCAGATTTCTCCAGTGATCGCTAAGCAACAACTACAAGTAAACACTCTGTATATCTGACGGTTATTCGTGTTTCTATTATTATTATTAAAGGGTAGATATAAAGCATGGTGAAATGTCCACAGCAATAGGAAAGGTTTATTTTTCACTGCGTAGTTACGTTTCTTAGACATTGTTGTTTGGCTGTTTCAATTTTAAGACCTTCTTTTTATCGATAATAAGAAACTGCTTTTTCAATTTGCCTTTTCACTTTCTTTGATCTCATTCGCAGAGCTTCATTAGTAACAGCGACATAAATCTAAACAACTTAAACATGGCGGATCTACAAATGTCGGGACCAACAGCCACTCCAGTGATTTTGTCCAATGTTCCACTCGACAGCAATCTTTCGTGCCACCTCGCGGTCGCTGGGCCACTTACTACCGCCAACGGAAATCACCCGGGCGAAGTTGGCGATGACACTTGTCCTGGAGCCGTTACCAGTAACCTTACGTTGCCTGGCAATTTTTCAGAATCGATGTTCGAGAGCGGCACCAGCATCAATCAGCTTGATCTACTAAACTCAGGACAGCTCCGCCAATTGAAACAAGAAGAAGAATAAGTGCACTGCAGTTCGAGCATAGACCCACCATTGTAATCTCGCCTAAGCTGAATAGTCTTTTATGAACAGGTGGGCCAGTGTGGTTTACCACTGTAGCGAAGCAGGACGAAAAAGACCTTAAGGCTTGCCGCGCTGAATAGGTCTCTAGGGTCAAAAGAGCGGTCAAGAGTTCATTTATGTTCCGTTAGCATGGAATATAATTAATCGGATCTGCCGTTTGGCTCAGACATCGTTGTCGACAGATATGTTTTTACGCATGTTATAAGAAAAATTTACAAAATGGTCGTAAGTTCATATTTGTTATTGCTGTGATTGTCTGATAGACGAAGGTATTAACTTTCTCGAAGTTGCTTTATATTGAGACAGCTTATCATTTTGAATGTTGGCAATATCTTGATGCATTCTACACCTGATATGCCAAATGCATTCAAGATAGTTTTTATTATCTTATCTGTCAGCTGTAAACGTACATCACAATGTTTCAGTTGGAAACGCAACACGAATACAAAGAGTTAATATAAGCAAAGTAAAGCTAATACATGGACGCCAGACAGCTCTTTGTCAAAGTAGGGCTCAAGTCAGTTATGTTTGACAAAGTGTTGATTGCACTGTTTTTCCAGTAGGCATTATTTCGAAAACTAGAGAACTCATAGATCCTACCTTTAAAATTACCTTACCTGCTCATAAGCTAGCTGGAATTTTTCGAAGCAGCTCATCCTGATTGGTTGTAGAGAAGTGTGGGCCTTTACCCCCCGCTCTATCCGTCCATCCACTGCTGATAATTCGTAGTTTGGAGAACTGTGAAGGCCACGTCGAATTTTTTTGCAACTAGTGTCATGCAAAATGTTCTTTTTACTTTCTTATTTATGTATGAGTAATTATATGACGCGAAAACATACTATATTTAGCTGGAAAATTAACTCCCAGGGACCAGACTCTCTTTAGGTTCTATTTCGGCCGTCGGGCCCGCCAATGCAGGTCGGACTCGACGGTTTGCCCCTTTCAAACATGTGGGCTAACGTGACGCAATCTGTCGGAAGTGCCTTATTTCTATTGCCTTATGCTAATTATTATTTTGTTAAATAATCTATTGACGTTGGGAAACGACAACAGTTCGCACTTGTTACGATGTTAGAAATTTATTTCTGAAGAAATCGTAATTATTTAATGCTTCAAGTAGCTTATTTTCTGCCTGTGAATACTGACTACGTGTGTTGTGACGGCTTATTATTTTCATGTTCCATTGAGTTGGGCCACTTCTAAGCAGTTACTTACTGGTCTCAGATAAGCTACGTTTATCAATAACAATACTCTACACAGACTGTGGTATAGATCAGAGAGGGAAATGATGTGGCCGCGTCTATGACCCTTTGACGAACTATAGCGCGACAATCATTGCAAATGTGTGCCGATGATCTTGTTACAATGTTGATACTGTTTTGACCCAAACAGTGCCAACGTACACCCGCGTCGAAACGAAGGGTTTGTAGAATATTTTTGTAAATAATATTTCACGTCAAAACTAGTGATCGTGGAAATTCTAGGAAGGTTTGAATCAAGCTGATTTATAAGCACATACATATACATATAAATCTATATATACATGTATATACACGGAAGGTCCGGGTCTACCTATTCACAGCTCTTTCTACAATAAGCCAGGATGTATCGCCTTGTTGTGCGTAAAACAGAATCATAGACAGTGTTAAATCTGCTTCTCTTTACAATGTCCCGTCGACGTACAAGCCGAACCGTGGCTTGTTCTTCTGCTTTGGAAAAGCGGTACATTTACGGTCGCCTAGAATTACACATTTTTGAGCTAGCGCGCTAAAGAGCGAAGCTGATGCGGAATTTCTACGAATGAGACTTTGCTAACTTACTAAAAATAGGCTACACAAGATAGCTTTTTCTCAGCATCTACAGAATTCATTCAATGTAACCTATAATAAGAAATGTTTTTCTGGCTCTACCGTATATAAAAACGACTAGAAAGTGGAGGGGCCACGTGATCTTTGGCAATTCCTTTGGTTCTCCCTGCCGGTCCTTTCGATTTCAGAGAAGGCGAAGTAGCGTTCCGTAAAAAATATTTATAATACTCTATTTGCAAAGCTGCCTCTATGGGCGACTGCTACTTGCATACCTAGTACTAAATGCTGGATTTTCTGCTGTGTGGGGTTCGGGCACACTAGGATGTAACTGTTAGTCCTAGTAGCGTTTACAGGAAACTGATGCGTCGATTGGGGATTTACCAAGCGCATTAATTTTCCTCGAATAAACTAACAGTTGGAGCCCACACCTGTCGGCAAAATTCTTCCAATGTAAACTGTTTGGATCTTTCAAGGCTGCAAGTCTCCAAAATCATAGGACAGGTAGTAATTGGGTACCCAGTGTATATATGTGTATATTCGATGATTCTATATAACTAGTAGGAAAAATTATAATCAATAAAAGCTATTTGAATATCAGCTAAACTGTTTTCTGCGCTATTATTTCGCTTCTTGCGTCACACGTTGCACGACCCGCCAGCGCTGGTTCGAAAAAACATATACGAGTCGTCGTCGTCGACGACGACGACGACGACGGCCCTTTTTTCCAACTATTTGCCTTACGATGGCGTGCGACCGTGATGCGGTAAGTTAAAGAAACTTGCTTTCCTTCAAATACCTGACCTTGGGTAGCACTAATGATACCTTACATATTGATTACCGTTCTGTTTTTTCCAAAGTATAGAAATTTGCTTTTAGTTTTCAAAAAGCTTTTAGTTGTGACTGGCTACAAGTATCTATTGCATTTATCATCAATCCATAAGTTCATTACTGTTCTAGTGAAATGTCGCACTTTCTAGCTGACGATCTAGTTTAGCCAAGGGCTCAGCGGGCAAAAACGATAGGATGAGTTGAAGTAACCGCGCAGGCGGCTGGCCAACCCAAGAAGCAAACCATTGCACGATCATAACAGAACCAAAACTGACTCGACATTGAAGTAAAACGGCGGCCCAATTCATTTTTTGTTGGATAACACAAGCTATTTGTATCGTTTTCATTAATAGGAAACACTCACACTTAACACTACCAGCGAAGCTTTAGAAGAATTTTGAGTACTTTTCGAGCTTTACCCTACCAGCGGAGATCTGATAGATACAGCGTCTTTGAGTATCTACGACTGTTACCTGATTGAGAATACTCGAAGAATAATTTGTTTTGAGATGAAGATTTGGTAATCAAAATAGACGCAGAAAAAAAAAAACAAACAAACGCTGTGAAAAAAACGGGAGGCAAGGAATAGGTTCCGTACGAACACGTATTGTGCACTCTGTCTATGACACGGGCCATTCGGTGCAGCCCATCTGAAAAAGATCAGACGAGGGAATGGCGTCAGTCACGACGAACAGTGACTCTTCTACCAATTATATAGCCTCCATTAATGGACCACGAGGGGGCACGTTTTGCTACATGTCGATTTATGAAAAAGTTCAATGTAAAATTCGAAAGCCACCATAACTACACTAAAAAAATACTACTCTCGAGCGAAGCAACTTGTGTATCCCGTCCGGTTAAACTCGTAGTGTGTCTCCATCCAAAAATATCCGTTATAAGTAACTAGAGTTCCATGAAACATGAAGATTGACGAACATGGATTTCCTAATAGACTAACCATATCGGTTAGGCGTTACATAGACTACAAAAAAATCAAAAGAATCTCTCTTTAACGACAGTTCTTGCCAATGAAACGCGTAGATTTCCGTCTAGCTACTATATTCTCTAGTTTTAAAAGCATATGAACTGCGTTTTAGCCGAGCTCGCTGTTGTTCCTAACAATGTTCAGTCATGGATATGGAGGGTAATTGTGGGGCAATTTTATAACGGCGGGCCTATTTGTTTGCCTAGAGTTGGCACGAACGTGTTTGTTGACATTGCACCTGGTGTAACCAACCGTCAATTAGACTATGGGATTGTTGGCTTATTTCTTTTGCTATGAGTCCAAACCTAAGACTACTTACCCCACTATGTTGCTGTCTTAATATTTTCAGCTCTATCTATTCCGCTGATTTCCAATCAGTAGTTTAATCGATAACAACATTTGTCCGTGTTTATTATTTCGTAGAGTACGGGCTAAACAGGTGTCTTTCCGCACGATACGAGCGATGCTATCCAGAAATGTTCGCAAAGTGATGTTTGAATAAATTACTCTGTTATCATAATTGGACATGGAATTGGAGAGGATTAACTCGAGTTTTTATCTGTCCTATTTTCCCATATCTATAAATTTTTCAAGGCTCATAGGAATCAGATGCCCTTAACGTCTATTGATTCTGCTAGGAAAAAGCGGTACAGTTAACTGGCGTTGAAGAACAGGCAATTTGGGTTTCCTATTGCTGCAATAATTAATTTTCGAAGTAATAGGTAAATTTCGAATACATATATCGACCTACCTTTCGTACGGGTCCGCTACCACCGTAACAAATCCATTTTTCCACTCCGCTAAAAATAGAACGAATGCCAAATGTCACTGTTTAATGCAAATCTGCACAAAAAAAAATATAGCAACTTATTTTCTTCGCTCGTGTGCCCACATAACTAAAAAATAACAGATGTATAATCCAGACGCATAGCAGCTTGATTAGATTTTACACTCGACCGTGAAGTACTCCATTTTGAGATTTTTTTTTTAATGCATTTATTTTAGAGGGCATAGTTTGGCTAAAAGAATGGCTTATTTCTCACAAGAAATAAACATGTATAACGACAATTAAGACCAACTATTTGGAATGTTGGCTTTATGAAATTAAGCAAACAACACGGTTTAGGCAGCGAAATTAACTGAAGCATATGAGTCTTTATTTACATATTCGTATATTATAACTAACTTGTATTAAAACAATGAAGTGTTTGCTCTAGTAGTACTCACTATTACTGTCGCTTGCAGCCTTTTATATTTCGCCCACATAGCGACTCGAATAATTTTCATATGTTATCTCTTAAATATGGTCATTTATTCCGTTGGAAAAGAAAACGTAATACTTGACGGATAGGAGACTCTTCCTCCTCCTTCGTGCGTGTGACCACCGGCAATAATGGCAATAATACCTCAAAATGGGTGGATCTCAAAGCTTCTTTCTTTGCTCCTTGTCCCGTTTTTTATAATAGCAATACAAGTTATGATCACGATAATGCTAATAAACGGCGGACGCTGACAAACTACTATGGAAAGTCAATTTTCAATTGTTTTTAATACACCCAATAGTAAGTTAGCAATTAATTGTATTAAATAGAGGTAATTATAACGATGCCGAACGTCGTCATATAATAATAATAATAAATTCCTTTGCAACGAAGTGCCTTCGATTCGGACGGACCTTCACGATGACCTTTTTTTTCGCTGTAGTATTACAATTAGGAGTATTTCATCATAGCATGTATGCATTAATATATATTGGTCAACAGGAAGCCATGTTCCTGCGTTTGGTTAGTTCTTCTGAGTCGTTCGTCTTCTTCGCCTCTATCGCCATTAGCCATCTGTTGGTATATTTTCTTTCTGTATTTCTCCATCGGCAGTTACGGTGAAACGTCAAACTGCTTACCTAACGTAATCTTTTGTAGTACACGATGTCTGCGACATGTCATCAACTATGATTCTCAATAAGCTGTCATCGTTGTCGTAGCGGTACTTCGTTCCGGCTCATGATCACTAACAGTTGTCCGTTGCCGCTAGAACAATGGTGGCATCTGGATGTCATATGCTTAGGCTGAACACTACGATCGTATCGGAAGTTATTACCTGAACACGGGTCAAGATATTAGTGATGCTGCACCTCGCAGCACGGAATAAAACTGTGAAGTGCAACATGGATTTTACCGCTGCGGTAACCCTTAACTGCATCACCTAGCACTCAACATCGGTTCATATTGCCCACTGTTTTAAATGGCAGTGTTTACCTCTGGCTTTGGTTAGTATTCAAACGGTTGTTCCCGCTATAATTGATGCTGCTCCATTTGTTATTCGCCGACGTTGATACCGTCGAGGGCGGCCCCCGGCAGCCCTACGCGATTGTTCAGATCCTTCGGGCATTTGTTGTTTTTCGCTGTCCTAGTTTGGTGGTCCTTTAATTGCCACTGCTGTTGCTGCTGACGTTTCGTTTCCTTTATTTGGGGAACGGTCGGGGACAAAAGTTTTGGAAAGGGTGGTTCCTCCTTGATTGGTTATGACTCTTCTACAACTCCGTCATGTGGAGCTCTGCCTTTGTTATGACTCCTTTAGTTATATTATAAATCTTGTTCACGCACATCCATAGCGTGTAGCACATGCGTGGAACGGATCTAAAAACATGTTATATTGGATAGAGAAAGTAGAGTCGGGCACATACCTTTAAGCGTAAAGTATATACTTGAAATAAATACCTATGTATACCTTGGTAAAGTAGATTCAGGTATACAAAGATTCATACCTTCAGGAGAGGGGTGGGCGACAGTGCATCGTGATTAGTGAAGCGGAACGCGTTTAGACAATACGTTTTTAATGTTTTCGTTTATAATGTATGACTTGATTGCCTAGCCTCCCCAATTCATTAGCCAATTTAAGTTTCAGCCTTAAATGGAGTGATTTTGTGTATGGCTTCTATTTCTTCTCCAAGTGAACTAGAAAAAACCTTCGTCGTCATTTCAGTAGCAACGGTGCAGCAGGCTGGCGCTATAATTGCAGGCGACAGACCTACCTCGTTCTATGGCTGCTGTAGTACATCATGCAAATTAATTATATATGTAGATTGGTAGGGGGCTGATATAGAGCTACACAATGGGCCAATGTAACTTGTTAAGGTTAGCTATGATCTGTCGACATAGCTAGTAGTATTATATATTGATCCTCTGCTGTAGGAGCTCCAAGAATACTACTTACAACTGTAGTAATGGTTGTGTGGCAATAGTTATTATTGGTATGGATACACTTCTTGATACAACTTGCATTTGTTGGTAACATTTTTGACGGTGATTTCTTTTTAGCTTCTAATTTACCTGTTCCGAACCACACATCGCTAAAAAAATCACTCCGTGCACCGACTACGCTGGCTTGCAGGTCCGTCCCGTTGCAGTCGATTCTCAACTGCCTTTATACTTGATGATATCTTTGATCTTCTTTCGGCGGTAAGACTTTCTATAGCTGCGATGTCCAGGTGCTGCGTGCGGTTAGCATTATGAAGCGTTTTTGCGGGTCGTGTATTGACAGACCATTAACGATTTCACTTAAACGCGCCATTATTGGGCGTCAGTGGATTTTCGGGGTTTTTTTGGAAGCAGCAGTAGCAGAAATTCGTAATATCCGCCTCGCGGCAACAGATCCGCCCGTCCCTTCGGAATAATGCAGTGGCACCACCATTTAGCCAAGTCGTTGTAGAAAGCCAACATGTTGACAACGACAGTTGGTGCCCCATGGGTTACAGCGGCATGTCAGCGCCTTGCAGCAGTGGTTTGGACGGGCATCACAGCTGACACCTTGATTCAAACAGCTTCGCCTAAAGACAGATCGACGTCTGAAATCAACATCGATTAGAGACCGTGTTAAACTACCCCTTGACTAGCTAGTTGACTAACTGCAACCTATTGTTATACCCTTCTCTATCTGGCCTATTTCGAATCGCCAAGTTGACGATTCGTTGCCGCCACATAAGGTACAGGTCTGGAAAGTTTTCATTCTGGGATTCTACACGTACATACGTTATCACCCGAGACTATAGAATATTTATAGGTATTGTATTTCACTCATCGTACTTTTATTAAGGTAAATTTCGCTATAGGAGATCGCATTTTTCGGAGGAAGCTTAGGTTCTAATACAAAAACGAAATGTTGCCCTAAGACTTGCATGAGTGCTAGCCTAACACGTTGACTATGGCTGAAAATCAGAAGCGTGGTGACGATAGTGTTGTAAAAGAAAGATGAGAGCAAAAATTTTTTCTGCTCATGCGATATGCTGCCTTCATTGGCGTAACGCTTAGTTATCATTGTATTGTATAGTAGATTATAGCATTTTTCAGAAAATAGACACTCGATAATAACTGTATCACGAGGTACGAGTTAATAGAAGCTTTTATGCGAATTGCACTGAAAATTAAGGTGTCGAAGTATTCTTTTCCTACTGTGTGAACCACTTGTGATCCATTTATCGTTGACCTGTTGGGGCTTATAAACCATCCAAATTCGAACAAGCCGGATTTTCGAATAGGTACGTTAAGCCAGTTATTCTAACTCGGAGCAGTATTTTTTGGCTAAATGGGGAACGGTCCATGATATTACAGCATTAGCGATAAACAGGTTGTAGGCACGATGAGTGCTGCTTGCCTCAACCCACCATTAAACGTTGCAGAAAATAAGTCGCTAACGCATATTTGCTATTTTAATGGTTATCGACCATCTCTACCATCTCTTAGTCTACCTACGAGGATTCCCACCTATAGCACAACCAGATATTTGAAAACCCGTGCCCGAACGCTTCCTGCTACCATCGCGTTTCAACAGAAGATTCAAATGTACATTTTACATTTGGGAGGTATCTAATATGTGCACATTTTCAGTTATTTTCGTAAGGTTATGATAAGTCTGGATGGATCGAAGGATGTACATAGTATAGGATGCTTCACTGGGCCTCCAACGTACGAGTGGTGTGGATTATATACGCGGAACGTAATCGCCCATTTATCAAAAGATCCATTTTTACTCGTATCTGTAAAGTATTGTAGTTTCCAAATACGTTACTGATACGAGAGGCAATACAATTTATATTCTGCCCCTATTTGCTATTCGTTATTTTTTGCTCATAAGCTGTTTGCTGACGGCTAATCGCCTATTCTGACTGGTCTGCAGCTTTGTGTCATCTTATTAAGTTCTCACTGGTATTGTTCATTGGCGTCGTTGCTGTAATAATATGAAAGACTTGATCGAAAGTATCCATCAATGGCTTATCGTCACATCTATAGCACACCTTAATTCAAATGTGCTTACATACGAGTGTGCCATATAGCCACATATCGAAATAATATATGGGGCGCATGACGTGCCGCGCGTGCCCATGCGAGTTGCACCATATGGATAGTAATAATAAAAATAATAATACATGTTTCTTCGCAGGTGTAGTGTATTTTATCCTATGGCATTCTGCCAGTGGGTCAGTTAAGTTCATATGGCAGTGAGAGAAATAGCCATTTCCCACATCTCCGAATTAGACAAATCGTCTGAACGTTAATTACAGCTTGATCTTGTAAACTCCGGTATTATCGACTACGTAATAGAATGTGTAGGACAGTTAGTTTTTGTCACTACACGATAAATTAACTTTAATTTTGAATCGACGCATTTTTTTTTTGTTTTTTTTTCTATTAAGTCTAATAGCTTTGAAATTAACAGACCAGATTTACTATTTTTTTTGTGGTAGTAAGACTATGAGCATTAATGGAATACACATACAATGTTGATAATCTACTAAGCCGTGCTCATATGTAAAGAATCAAGCTTGAACTAAAAATGTCCGACCTACTCGACATGTTTGATCTGACCTGAAAGGGGAAATTCGACTTTCAATGCATTTCTATTGCATCTATTGCTAAGACTTCGGATGGGTTTCAGACGATTAGTTATACGACATCTATTTCACAAGGCCGACCCAATATGGCAGGACGCAACGCATTTTACATGAAATACTGCTACAGTACCCACTGTATTAGACGACTTCAAACAAGCCCTTGCACTAATATTGCCTGAATCTGCGTAGATGGGTAATGGCGTGTCGAGAGAATTTGTCTAGGGTTTTAATCTGGTTGGCCTAACGATGAGATTCGACGAAAAACCTGATCTAAACATTAAAGGCCGATATAATATTACGCTGTCGTAGATTTTTACTATCGTCGCATTTTAATCCAACATTTAGAATATGGAGGGGCCGTAATGCGTCACAATAAAAGTCCGCTGTGAAACCTTAAGCCATAAGCACACTTAGGTCTTCATTGGCACACTATCGATACACACACTTCGTTCCTTAGGCCAGCTGGACTTCAAACGGATACCCGATGTCAGTGTCGTTCTGCAACGATATATTTCATATATATATATATGTATATGCAAGCTGAAAATAATACTTGAACCTAATGTTTAGTTGGATTGCGTTATTTTTGTGTATTTCTCTAACACTCTTAAATAACACGAGTCTTTTTTTAACTATTGTTGATAAGAGTTTATAACCAAAAACTACGATTTCTAGGAAGAACAGAAAACTCAATCCACTCAAATTATGGAGAAATCCACGTTTCAAATATGAGAATAATTTTAAAAGTTGCTGGTTAGTGCTCTTTAAATCTTCACTCTTTTTCAGGTTATCAACCTATAATCTAAGACAGACAGGCAGTAATGTCCAAACGCAAGTTAGCCCTTTGCGGCGGTGCTTGACTCACAAATTCGAATGTCCTATTTCGATTTGGTTCGACGCAACGACGGGAGCTCTGAGTTTTACGAGACGTTGACCCCCCCCCCCATCCCCCCATCCCATAGACGTTCCTGTCGCCTGTCGGTGGGGGAGATTACGTTTGCAATTTCAGGTAACCGCCTAAATTTCATCAAATCCGTTCATTTGGGCAGTTATTTATCATTTCTTGAAAGGTATCATTTGCTATATGTTCTAAAAATTAACACAGCTGTTTGTACTGAACGTAAGCAACAGCTTTAGGTCGTCGCAGAGTAGCCGATACGTTTAATGCGTTATTCTCGAATGCTTTTTCATGAAACTTAGCATATAAAATTTTTAGTGAAAATTTTTGAATGTACTGTTCTCAATGTCGGAACGTAGGGGTTTTGTTGAAATCGTACTTACGCTATTGATTGGTCCACTTCTTGCTCACTGTCAGAACGCTGTTTGCTCTCTTGGTTTTCACAACACGACAAGTAATAAATTTAATTGTTGATGACTGGCACAAAAAAAACGAAAACAAATGCAGTACCCTATCGACATTGTAATCGAGTGTAAAACCCTTGCTATCTGGGTACTAACTATACTCAGCAGGAAAAACACAGAGAACCAGCGATTCGAAGAGCACTATCTTGCCATGAGAGAGCTAATACTGATTTGGTAAAATTTAGAGAGACACGGTCGATAATCCTATCCATTTTCAGAGTTGAACCTGTAAGTCTGCATTTCTAAAAGGACTATAACCTTGTACTTACCATTGCTTATTGTCATTATTTAGTAGAAGCAGTCTCAAAAGTATATACACAGAGTGGGCGGAAAGTATTTCAGTCATTTATTCATTAAGGGCTGCACTATTCAACTGCTTTATTCGCTGCTCTTTACCCTTAAAAAGTACTACTTAATAGCGTACTTTTTGTACTGTATATCCTGGTTGTCTATCCCAGCTTCTGCTCAGTTGCTCGGCTCTCTGTGTGTCTTTGTAGCGTTACGGTACCTGTCTCTCACCTCCTTTTATCCTCAGTGTGCACGCACATGCGCATACTATCGAACCGATCAGGACACATATCATTGCACGTTCTTTCTGAATAAAATATGCTCACAGCACATTAATCGGTGCTATGATGCTACCTTATTAAGTTTCTCGGATAAGAAAAACTCACTTCAATTCCCGCATGTTCGGATGCAGGATATCGCTGTCGTAGACAATCGATGTTCAGCGTTAGATAACTTCATATATAGTTAACCGTTTCTCAATTGTACTTACTGTCGATCGAACCCGACATCTCAATGTTCTCAAAACAAACAAGGGTAGTCATCAGTAGTGCTCGGTGCCAGTAGCCTGGGGCCTGAGGACTAGGCCTCTTCTTGTTGCAAGTCTACTCAGTTCAATAGCATTTGCTACCTGAATTTAGTATCCTTTACTAGTTAACTTACTTTATTTATTTAATTATCGTTTTTCACTAATATCACTTTGAGTAGTTGTTATCTGGCGATCTAATCATTATCCATTGCTATCATTATCTATTTAGACTGAATTTTGAAAAGCTGCGCCTCAAAGGGTGACTCAGTGATTTCTATATATAAAATGCGTTACTGTAACTTGACGTCCCTTTTCTGAAGTACTATTTTGGAGCTTCATTTTGGTTATGTTCCTGGTTTTCCATAGCAACAGTTCGCGTGATAGCATTTTATTTCATGTTATCGCTTAATTTATTTATAAAGCCCCACAATCTCAGATTCTTACACTCTCCACTTTGTTCTCTGTTGCCATTTCTCTTAATCCACCTTATCAGATACTCTCGTATTAATAAAATATCAGTACGATACTATATATACATACATACCTGAGAGTTTCACAAACTTACTTTTGTATAAATGGTGTGTAGTCACCACCCTCAGGTGGATCAAGATACCTTAGGAG